GGAGGCCACTGTCACAGCCACTATTAACATTCTTCTAGATACTAGTTATAATAAGCTAGCAGTGGAAGAACCTAGAAGTTTGTTTTCTAAATTCAAGAGGACAAGACAAGCTGTAAACCATTTGAGCCAAAAGTGCACCCCTACAAACCAACATCAAAATAATCACAGCGCAACTGAGAAATTGTCAGAAAATGCAAAGGATGAGTATCAATAGACATTGTTCTGATTATATTGAAATGAATCACTACTTCCACATTGAGCAATCTGTATGAAAAATCACAATGAAAATTTCACCTATTGTTAAAGATAAAATGGTGAGCAGAGATTTGAGAGAAGCTAACGTCAGCAAGAGCAGTGAGATGCACTTTGCTAATGATTTTATTGTAAGCAGTGCAGCAATGCTTACCACACTTGTCAGCCTGCATCAGTTGTTAGCTGGTTCTCCTTGAAGAAGTCAATTTAGGCAACTGCGTCTCCTGTTCCTCCATTGAAAGTCACTCTAAAATCTGAGGACACACAATACTTTTATTACATTCATGGTTTTCTGTATCAGGAGTTCTAGCAAAGCCCAGAATGTACAACTGAGTTCTGCTGGGGCTCAGGCTAGAGTGGTCCAAACGACCACAGATAGTAGAGACAGTTAAATAAGGGGACATGTTTGAGCCTGTGGCTGTCACCTGTTTCTAGGTTCTCTGAGGTCTAGGTGGAGTTTCTGTCTCACCCTCCAGTTCCCAAATCATGGACAGCCATTCCCCAGATAATTGATTCAGACACTTAATATAAATTACAAATGCTTGGCTGATAGCTCAAGGTTGTTACTAGCCAACTCTGCACTTAAATTAAATTAGATATTTCATATCTATGCTTTGCCACGTGACTTATGACTTGTTACCTCATTTTCTACACACCCTGCTTCCTCCATGGCTGGCTGATGTCTCCTCTGACTCCACCCTTCTTCCCATCATTCTCCTGGTTTGGTTGTCTCACCTAGAATTCCTACCTGGCTATCAGCCAGTCAGTTCTTTATTAACCAATGAGAGTAATACATACTCATGTATACAGAAGGGTTATTCCACAGCACCGAGGTGCACTTGTGGAGACAGGAGTGGACTCTTTCACACCTTCCCAAGGCGGCAGCACTCCTCCCCTGGTGAGTTTGCTTCCCCAAGACCAGCAGAGCATTGCAAAGTCAGAGGAGTCTACAGGCAGCGTTCGTCAGCTCTGTTCATTACCGGGCTAATAACAGGGAAGGCCGATTCTGTGAGAGCCCTGAGTTCACAGACGCACGGAGATGTCATTTTAGGAGCCCATTGCGTCGTCATAGCAGCTCTGCTATGCCCACTCACTGAAGTAGGGGCTCTGAACATGCTCAGATGGGACTGTAAGAGGCACCACCTCGCATGTGCCTTTAAGGACTTGTCTGCAAGCCCTGCAGACAGAAGCCCTGACCCATCCACGGCTCCCACCAAATCTGCTCCATTCCCACTACACCGCAGTTCACACTAGAGGACCCCTTGTTCTGAACAGAACACTTCCAACATAAGGCTACATAGCAAAACTCCAGACTGAGAAGACCTACATTGTAGTCTCAAGAAAGGAGGCCATCATGGCATCCCTCAGCCTTTGCAAAGCCCTAAACTTCCATCCAAACTTCTCTAAATCAGTCTCAAGCAACTCTACTGATATATCAAGGGTTTCTATAAAATATAAGGAAATTAACAAGGATTTCTATAAAGTGTAAGGAAATTATCAAGGGTTTCTATAAAGTGTAAGGAAATTATCAAGGGTTTCTATAAAGTGTAAGGAAATTATCAAGGGTTTCTATAAAGTGTGAGGAAATTATCAAGGGTTTCTATAAAGTGTGAGGAAATCATCAAGGGTTTCTATAAAGTGTAAGAAATGAAATGCCAGCCTAAGAGTTCACCACTTATCTCCATCGGATGAGCACTGACCTCGTAAGTTTGCCTGCAGTGGGCGATGGCTTAGATGCCTTCATCTTTTCTACTACACCTGCAAGCATCCAGAAAACAGATTCAATATGAGAGTGAGTTCTTATGAAGAATGACATCACATTAACTCACAAATAAAGACTTTTTAAAATGTGTTTGAGTGTTTTGTCTTCATGTATATATGTGCACCACTTGCAAGCCTGGTGCCCATGGAGGTCAGAGGTCAGGAGAGGGAAGAGGTCAGAAGAGGGCAGAGGTCAGGAGAGGGAAGAGGTCAGAAGAGGGCAGAGGGCAGGAGAGGATAGAAGTCAGAAAAGGGTAGGGGGCAGGATAGGGTGGAGGTCAGAGGTCAGAGGTCAGGAGATGGAAACAGTCAGAAGAGGGCAGAGGGCAGGAGAGGGTGGAGGTCAGAGGTCAGGAGAGGGAAGAGGTCAGAAGAGGACAGAGGGCAGAGGGCAGGAGAGGGTGGAGGTAAGAAGAGGACATTGGATCCCCTGGAACTGAGTTATGAATAGTTTTAAATTATCTGAGCCATCATGTGGGTGCTGGGAAATGAACCCACTTGTCTGCAAGAGTAACAAGTGCTCTTAATTGATGAGCCATCTTTCCAGCCCCTAACTCACAAATAAAAAGGACCTTCATTTTAAGACAATATCTCACTGAGTTGCCCATCCCAGCATTTGTTTATTATTTTATTTGTTTATTATTTGTTTATTATTAAACATTTAATTTGTTTATTATTAAACATAAATTTGTTTATTATTAAACAAATAATACACTTGTTTAATGCTACAGCCCTTGTCTAGCATGCATGTGCTAGGCCCAGGGTTCGATCCCCAGCACTGAAAATAAATATAACTGCTGCTCAAACGGTAGCTACCGGCCACATGAATGCATAGTTAATCATCTGAGCTAAACTGTAGAGCATAGTCTCCTGTCCTCACGAGCCCTGGGAACACTGTTATCATCGCAGAATGCGCGATAAAGCAGACATTCTTCACAAACAAGGGCTGCGCAAGAAACCACAAGACGGTTGTCAATAGTATCTTAATATGTCTGTGGTCTGAACCATTTCCCAGAATTGCTCTGCAGCACAAGAATAAGATGAACTGTTGTGAATCAGAAGTGCGCAGCAGGCCCTGCTGACTCGTTTCAGCCGTGCTCTGGTCCTTCTTCCTCACTTCTCTCTTGTATGTGTCGACTTCTATGGCCACATGGCCAGACGCTATAGGACACAGGGACAAGGTTCCTTCTAAGTGTGGTGTTACAGGGGCAAGAGTGGAGAGGGTGGGCCAGGAAGATGGTTCCTTGAGGAGGTTCCCACCCCTCTAGTGAGGATGAACCTAGGGCCTCACACGTTAGGTAAGCATTACACCACTGTGCTATATCCCCAGGCCCCTTTTTAGTTTTTATTTGGAGGCAGGGCTGCCTAGGCTGCCCTTAAACTCACGATACTTCCTGCCTCAGTCTCCTAGAGTTGGACATGTCTGCGTTTGTTCGGGACATCTTTAAAGCTATGCTGAGACACAGGCTCAGAGGGTGGAGCAAGAGAAATATCAGCATGCCCAACCTATAGGAACGGCCCAGAGACTGGCTTTCCCTCCAACCGGCCAGCTGGTAGTCTCCAGTGTCTGGCTATTGCCCATGCCCAGAGGTTGCATCTGCTGAAGAGAGACACTTCTAGGTTAAGTGTTTTCTCCAGGGGAGGTTTACATTTAATAACCAGCTGATAGAGTTATAAAATCCCTCCCCTCTTCTTCAGCTTCAAGATTGGTGCAAACTGTAGAGTGCCATGTGGAGTCACCATTTGTTGTGACTGTGTCTCAGTCTAACTTGTCTTTGCCCAATCCTGTTCTTTCCTTCCCTTCTCAGCCATAAATTCCAAGACGACTCCCTAGTGGCTCCTTTCACCACCTCTCTGTCTCCCACCTCAACAGCCCATAAGCCTTGGAACCCAGTCTTTACACGCATGCACACCTGTACACATGCACACACGCACACACACACACATACATGCACACACAAGGGTACATACACAAATACATGTATAGGAACAACATAGTTTGCAATACTAATAGATCAAAAGAAAAAAAATTAATGTAATCATTCCAATAACCATTAAAACAGATTTAAAAATAACTCACACCTCTGATAAAAAGGCCTTTACTTAGTGAAATAGGAATGAATGAAGTCTGCATGCACTGTTTAAAAATTAATCACTAATAGCCAATATCAGCCTCGGTGATATTAGGTATTCTATTTTTAAAATTTTTCTTTTTTGTTTATTTAAGTACTGGGCATAGAACCCAGGACCTTGGGTATTCTAGGTAAATGCTCTATCAGTGAGTTACACCCCTAGTCTTTGGTGTTTTGTCATTTTTGAGATGAGGGTCTTTTGTTTTGGTTTGGTTTGGTTTGGTTTTTCGAGATATGGTTTCTCTGTGTAGCCCTGGCTGACCTGGAACTTGCTTTGTAGACCAGGCTGACCTCAAAATCACAGATACCCACCTGCTTCTGCCTCCCAAGTGTTGGGAGTAAGCCATGCGCCACCACACCTGGTGAGTAGGGGGGTGTTCTTAAGTACCCTAGAATGCCCTTAGATCTGTCATCCTCCTGTCTCAACCTGGAATCTAATTCATGTAAGAGAAATCCTTAAAGAGCAAGAGAGAACTGAAGATTAGCAGTAACCAAGTCTAGGACAGAGTGAGACCTCGGAGTCCTAGATCTTCCTTCCCTTCCTTGGCTATGGCAGCGTGTTTGATGCTACTGACCCCGCTGGACACAGACACCCCTTGGTCACAGTGCTTGATTCTATAGGGAAATGCCAAGACCACAGCTGCATGGCAAATGTTTCTGTCTCTTTAAGCCGTCATCATCCGGCCTTTCTCTGGGTTTCCTGATCTCTGGGACCCAGGCTGCCCAGTGACTTCCTCTCTGCTCAGCCCTCGGCACCGAGAGACCAAGACCTCTTTACTCATGGCTGAAGGGAAGGCAGGAGTTCTCTGGGGCTTCTCTGGGCGACTTTAAAGTCTGTCACCAAAAAAGGTGAGCTTGAGCCTGTGAGCAGGATGGAGAGGGGGCTGGGCTGTGAGACCAGAGTGTCTGCTGTCTACACACCGGCATTTTACAAAGCACTGCGCAGGAGCATACCGTGCTAGCGCATGCGGCGCAGGCAAGAGCGGGCGTCCAGACGCCTGAGGGGTGGTCTGGGTTTCAACCTTAGCAAGTTCAGAGGAAGTCTTAGGAGTACACAGATTCTTGATGGGCAGATCTTGTCTCTTCCCAAACTTCTTTCATACGGTAAGAGAAACCTATTCTAGATCCCATTTCAGGAGCAAAGTGCGGTTTAGAAGGTACCATTCCTCAAACTGCACATACAACAAATGCAGAAGATGCTTCTATGTCTCTATAAACCATGCCTTCAAGGCCAGTCATGATGTGCCAAGTCTACGCCCCTCTGAAGTCTCTTATTCTCACACCTGTATGCGTGTGCATGGGGAGGGGGCTCTAACACACCTCAGAGGAATGGAACTTGGTCATCAAGCCCTGTCCCCACCTGTCACTTAAACCTTTGCTTCCTGATTGAAGTTTGTCCCGCTCCAACTATAGGGACCTCACAGTTTTTTCATGTCTATAGTGAAGAGTTGGAGAAATAGCTCATTTTCAAATGCTAGGTGTAGTTTAAGCTTATGAGGAATGATCGACTTGTTCTAGCAGAACCACCAAGGATGGGGCCAAAAGATGCGATGTCCAGGGGAACACCTAAATATTTTCTAAAAACATCAAGACAAGAAACTAGATAACTCCTGAGCTCTCTTAAACATGTAGAACTGTTCTTGCTTTGTATTCCCAGACAATTAAAGCCATTTGTCACCCAAGATTTCATTCACTGTTTTTTTTTTTCTCTTTGGCTTCCACTCTGAGCTCCGGGGAGTCCTGGGGGCCTGTCCTGGCCTCCCCTGAGTCCATGCACACGGTTCATTTCCCCCAGGACAAGGTCTCCAAGCTCCTGCAGAAGTCTTGTTCGCTGCTCTCGGTCTTGTGGCTGCTTCTTCTTTTCTGCATCATTTGTGGAATTTGCTGATTCCCGCACCCAGAATGGTGACACAGAACCACACAGTGAGTTCTACTAAAGGCTTTGGGGAGACGGAAGAGGTGTTAACCCAACCTAGTCCCAAAGCCCCTCTAGGGAGAGAGGGTGTTGAGTTATTATCTTCCTTTTTCCGTGCGTGTGTGGTGCCCACAGGGGGGAGTGTGGGAGGAAACCCATCACCCCTAGTGGAGACAAAGAGACAGATTCTGAGGTGATGAGAAATGCAGATAAGCACTCTGACAAGAATGTGGGAGCAGAGCTCTCGCCAGAGAAAAGCCAGCTAGGGCTGGTGAGTCTTAATCTGGGGTCTGTGCAGTCACATACTGAGGCCTGTTCACTGGAAATGAGGCTGGAGCAGCAGACTTAGGGGACACCGTGCTTTGTGCTTAGGGACTCCTGGGACCAGGCACACGTGACCAGAGCGTGCTTGGCTGTATCAAATAACTGTGCAGTCAGAACATCTTTGGTAGAAGGGAAGTTTCTAAAGAGAAGGTCTCAGAAACTCATAAGACAACTTCGTGGAGCTGGTTCTTCCATCCATCTTTACTGGCTCAGGAGAGAAAGCTCAGGTTATCAAGCTAGCACTGCAACCATCTTTCTGGTCCCCCGGAAACTATTCTTCAAAAATCCAGATGCTCTCGATGAGAAGGAACAGCATATTTTCCTGTGGTGACAAAAGGCACCCACCATGTCTCTGCTCACCTGGCCCCTGAAGCCTTGCTTTGCAGTGTCCCTGCTCTTTAGACTTAGCCTGACATTGTGGTTGGTTTCGCCCGTCTGCAGGAAGGAGCGCATGAATGAGGAAATCGTGACTGAGAGTCCTGAGAAGCATGGGAGGAAGGAAGATGGCAAGAGACGAGGAAAGCACCTATGGTAACAGCCCTTCTCTCAATGCATCCCCGCTGGTGTGGGCGCTAAGGGTAGGAAGTGGGTGGAGCTTCCTCAGATCTGGGAGCCCCTGGGATGAAACAGCAGGACCCATTTGACTGTGTCTCTGCCCCTGCCCCTGCTGAGAGAAGCTCACAGCTTTGACCCTGTCACTGGTTCCCACAGCATGAAGGAGGATCCTAAACCTACTCTGGTCTCCACAAAAAAATGACACAGAGGATGGGAAACCCAGGACTAGAGTGAGCCTCACTCACCAGGTCTCCAGTGTTAGAATAGAGGGCTAACTGCGTATTTAGTATTTGGGGGGGTCGGGGAGATGACTGTGGGTAAAGGCACAAGCAGCCAATCCAGATGGGTTGACTTCAACTCCTGAGCCAACCGATGCAAGGAGGGAACTGAGTCCTGAAACTTGACCTTTAGCCTCCACAGGACACAGTGGTATGGTGTCCCCTTAGATAAAATGTAACAAACTATTATCTAAAGGGGGGCTTTCTCTTTAAGGAGCCAGCTTAAGACAAGAGAGGAGAAAGAGGGAAGCAGGTGAACTCTCCTCTCTAACAGCCCGAGGAAAGACCCACATGGTCTCCTCTTCTGTAGGAGAGGTGTGCCCTAGCCTGAGCACTTCCTGCTCTTATACAAGTACTTGGTGGGCTGCCATCCAACCTGTACCTGGGGCTGAGGGGCTCCCCTGTGCTCGATGACCAGCATCTGTGGAGGGAACATTAGGGTCAAATCAGCATCAGGTCAGCCTGTGTGTGCAGGACCAGAGATCCTGGTAGACCCAGGAGTTATAATGGACTCTTTCTGAAAGGCAGCGGGAGCACCTACAGGTGCAGAGAATACAAGGGCAGAGAGGAAAGACCGGGAGGAGCCTGAGCTCTGAGAGCCCAGAGCAGATGGGAGCACCAGCTTCCAAGGGGAGCAGGCACTGCGGTTCGTTCCCTTTCGGGCTGAAGGTTAGAACATAGGTGAGCCCCAGGGAAAAGCCATGTCTCTGACTCAGTGTTGCCCTATCTGGTCCTCAGGCTTGGAGATGTATTCACAGATCCCAAGGGGGCCCCCACTGAGGCTCATCCTGGTAGGTAGGACCGGGACCGGCAAGAGTGCCACTGGTAACACCATCCTGGGCCGGACCTGCTTCGTATCCAAGCTGGGGGCTGTGCCTGTTACCAGATCCTGCTCCTGGGCCAACAGGAAATGGGCCGGCTGGTATGTTGAGGTGGTGGACACCCCGGATGTATTCAGCTCTGAGGTCAAACAGACCGACCCTGCGTGCTCGGAGACAGCCCACTGCTTCCTACTGACGTCGCCCGGACCGCACGCGCTGCTGCTGGTCACCCAGCTGGGTCGCTTCACCACTCAGGACAGCCAGGTGCTGGCCGGGGTGAAGCGGGTGTTCGGGGAGAAAGTGATGGCGCGGACTGTTGTGGTGTTCACTCGCAAGGAGGACCTGGCAGGAGAGTCTCTGCAGGATTATGTGCGATGCACAGACAATCGCGCGCTGCGGGAGCTGGTGGCTGAGTGCGGGGGCCGCGTGTGCGCCCTAAACAACCGAACCACTGCCCGCGAGCGCGAGGCACAAGCTGAGGAGCTGCTGGGCCTGGTCGCTGGCCTGGTGAGGGAGCACGGGGGCGGGTACTACTCCAATGAAGTGTATGATCTGGTGAGGACCCTGTGGAGCTCTAACCCCAAGGACCAAGTCAGCAAGGTGGCAGAGATGGTGGCAAGACGCATGCAGAGGCCCCTGCGCACCAGGCTGCTAACTGGGCTGTGGGACTGGCAGAAATCTTACAGGAAGAGCTGGAGACGGGGCGTGGCTATTTTCCTGGGTGTGGCCTTCCTGATCTACCTGCTGGTCTACAGAAAGGCGCCTCAGCCCATTGGGGACCAGAACAGCAGATAATGCTGGTCTTAGAAGATGTTTTAACTAGGAAGAAAATATTTTTAAAAAGGAATGCTTAGATCTCTGCTCAGAGCTCACAGTACTGCGGGAAACACGGTATCAGCTTTGCAAAGGCTTCGGAGGTGATGAGTCTCAACTTTAACTACTAGAGTTTAAAAAAAATAAAATTTGTCTAACTAAAGTTTTCCTTTAGACCTTTTCATCATCCCTGTGTGTCATTCTTCTCTTAAAACAACAAATACTCCTGGTAGCTTGTAAATGGGGACAAAATCACAACACAAAGAGAGCAAGCATTTCTTTTCTTTTTAAACTTATTCTTTGGTAATTTCATATAATAAATTTGGGTCCGCTCTTTGGGCTTTCGAGGGGGGGACTTAATTGGGGGAGGGGGAGGGAAATGGGAGGCGGTGGCTGGGAAGAGACAGAAATCTTTAATAAATAAATAAAATAAAATAAATAAATTTGGGTCATATTCTCTCACTTTCCCCAAGTCCCCACCATCTCCCTCCTCTCAGAACTTCATGGTTTTTTGTTTGTGTGTTTGTTTTATGTCTTAACAGCAACACGAAGCTGGATTTGTTGGCCAATACTCCTGAGCCTGCCCTGGGGTGTGGCTGATATACCCAGTGTCACTGCATTGAAGAGACTCCATTTTCCTTCCCCCAGGAGTTATGATTTGTGACTAGTTTCTTGGTTGGAGGGGGCATTTATGTCTGACTTGCACTTGCTCGGGTGTTGGGCATGCCGCCACAGCCTCTGTGATCACGTGTGCACCTGCCCTGTTGTGTCTAAAAAGTTGTTTTCCTGAAGTCGCCCAGCAGCTGAGGCTCTTAGGGTCCCCCTGCCCTCCCTTCCACGGACATCGCTAACAAGATGGCGGCCAGGGTCTGGAAACTGGCTCCCTAATTAACAGTCACGAGGACAGAAGGGTCACCGCCTGCTTTCTAGGGAACACAGGCACGTGGCTTCTTTGGGCTTAATTTGTTTCTCTGTGAAAATAGATATTGAGTTTGGGAGCTATCAAATTTTTTTTTCATTTTTTTTTTCTTTAAACAAATAAATTATTTCACGATGGGCTTGACGGCACATGCCTGCCACTCAGGAGGCAGAGGCAGGAGGGTCGGGTGTTCCTAGCTCAGGGCTCTGCGTTCAATTCCTAGTTGGGGGGGGGTGTTAATGTGTGAACTCTTGACAGTTAGGTTTCTGGGAGATTCTGGCTTTGTCTGAAGAGTTACAACCTGCCAGGATGGATCAGGATCTGTTCATTTCTCCCCACTTCCCACCCTGCCCTAAGAAACCAAACCAGGAGGGATCAGGGTCTGTTGATTTCCTTCCCACCTCCCACCCTGACCTAACAAACCAAACTGAACTTACTCCAGTGCTGTCTGCTAGGTTGAAACTGTGTGAAAATATAAAAGCTGAGGGGTGAATAAAAATCAAAATGGAAAAAACTCTAACAGGAACATAACCATCCTTCAGAAGTCTTTCTCTTTTCCTTCCTTCCTTTCTTCCTTCTTTCTTTCTTTTCCTCTTTCTCTCTCTTTCTTTAAAAAAAAAAACACAACATAAGTCCTTAGACTCCTTTGTCTTCCTATCCCCCTTTGCTTTGAGATGTTTATCCCCTTAAATCCTTTTTTCCTCTCCAGGTGAAGAGCAGAAGGAGCTGGTGGAATGCAAACATGGGAGAAGGTCAGACCCTGCTCCTCAGGGACATGGCTCTAACTTAGGTTGAAGCCCTCTCCTCCCATCCCAGACCTTCCTCTTGCCCGAAGGATGTGGGGAGCTTATTTCCCTCCGGCTAAAGACACAGCTGGTCACTACCAATTAGGAGAAAGGACAGTGACACTAATAACGGGGCTATCACATCCTCTGGAGGAAGAGCTATGGCTTCTTATTAGACTGTCTCACTCCGTGGCCTAGGCTGCCTTCTAACTCAAGGCAATCCTCCTGCTTCAGCTCTCTGACAAACAATGATAAGAAAAAGCCATCATGCTCAGCTTGAGTTATGTCTTCTCTTGAAAATGGATGCAGAGGACTGCATCTATCTGGTTTTAAACTCTCCCCACCACCCCACCTCACCGCAGTCTCTTAGTGTGTCTCCTCCTCAGCTCCCCTGAAATCCTAGTATCCATAATCTAAAGCCAAGCACACTTCCTGTCAACAGAAAGCATCATGGGGGAATTCTGAGATGAGAACCACCTGCACAAGCCAGAGCTGGGTTTTATGCTCAAGGTTCAGTACTTAACAGGTGCAGTCAGGTAAAGAAATGCTCCACACAGCAGAGAAGAGGCAGTCAGCACCCAGTCTCATGCCCTTTGAGGGGGCTGTCCAGGCCCTCTGGGACCAGCAGTGCTTTTCTGCCCCCGTTTAGGGGACCCGTCTAAAGACAAAGTGGTCACGTGGGGCCCAGGGTCTTGGGGGCAAGCAGATGCTCACCTTCGGTGCTAACGGGAACCCGGGGCCCAGCACTTCCAGTCATAAGAGGGCTTTCTGGAACCTGGGGGACGGGGCTGTCCCCCACCGCCCAGCATCTGACTCCCAGTGCTTTGTCTGCTCAGACCTTTCTGAAGAGGAAATGAGTAGGGCAGGGCGGCCTGTCAGCTTTCCACAGGAAGCGGCCATTTACCACGGCAGCTCTGCTGTGTTCTGGCGGATTTCAGGTCAGCGTTCAAGGTCCCGACTTTAGGGGACAGCCTGCGGGGCAGTAGCGTATGCTGCGTCGCTGTGTTTTTTCTTCTTTTCCTGACTCTGGAGTTATGGCTCTGTAAGTGGCCTTTCTGTGAGAGCATCATCCAGCAGGCACAGGTCCTCTGCCTGCCGGCAAGTGACTCACACTGGTGACTGGAGGCTGAGCCCTGCTGGCCCGGGTAAGGAGGAGGCTCTGGCAGCCACTTGGGGGCAGGGAGGACTAACGGGGACCTGTTCTGCTCCTCTTTAGCGGGCCCTTAGGTGAGCTCTGGTACTTTGGGTCCCCTGGACAGTGAAGTGAGCATCAGCGACAGCACATGGTGGGGCAGGGCCCTGAAATTTCCATGTCATCATCCCCAGACCCATGGGGATGCTGGGACTTTCCGCCCCATTGCCTGCGCCTTTCTGAAACCTTCGGTTTAACAAAACTGAACAAATGTTCCCAGCGCCCAGGTTTTCCCAAGATCCCCAGCAGGTGGCGAACTCTTCCCCAGACTCCTCAAAGCCCACTCAGGTCAGACAGGCTTCACCCCTAGGAGGTCAGCATGGGGCCTTAAGGCTCTACAGACCAGGGTGGAATCTCCATGTTCCCTCCATCATGACCCAGTCCTCCCCTAGAAGGCCACCTGCATGTTTGTCTGTGTGAGGATGGTGACGACACAGACAAAAAGAACTATTTGGGGAGGGTTGGCTATAAGGCAAATGTGTGACTCTGGGCAGCTCATGTAACTTTAACAGAAATTCTGGTGGCCTGTCACTAACAGCACAGGGAAAACAAGAAAAAGATGTGCATGCAAGAAGCCTGGATACGATGAGTGTCTGCAGGGCAAGTCATGGCGGGGAAGCTCAGTTTCATCACCACTGACACTGTGTCCTTCACAGTCAAGTCTCGGACAATGAGTAGAAACGGTGCTCTATGACTGGAAGAATTTTCCTAAGAACAGGGTACAGCTTACAGTGATAAGAACAGTACGAGCCTAGAGAAGGATGTTCTTCTCTGCGTGCAAGGAAAGGAGGGGGAGAGGAGCGGGGTAGGGAGAAGGGGAATAAAGAGGTGAATAGGCAGAGCAGAACAGAGGAAAAGAAGGGGTAGGGGAGGAGAGGGAGATGCCTTAAGATATTCTGGAAATGTGGAAAGAATGGATGGGGTTTTTATGAAGAGGCCCAAGAAAAACCTTTTTCTTTGCAAAATAAAATTGTGAAAGACGAAATAGCAGAAGCACTATCAGTAGCACATAAGCCTTGCCATGCCCCGAATTCAGTGGATGACCAGTCCTAAGTCCTAAGAGCGCTAGAAATGCGGTGACCATCATGGAGATTTGGGGTTCGCCTGGGAGACTGGGTAGGCAAGAGCAACTCGACCCACTCAAGAGTTAAACATGGCCATATCCAGCTAGCAGAAAATGTGCACCCCAGATGAACCAGCTGTTCAACAGAAGTGCCAAGGGGTGCCTATGGGGATTATCTTACAGTGTTCTTTGTTGTAAAAAGAAATGATTTCAGAACAGTTTGATGTCTATTAATAGAAAATAAATAAGATGTTGCAAAAAGGTCATTCATGTTGAAGTTTAACATGCAAAAAAACAGGACTGAGAATTGTCTAAGGATGTAAATACATATGCAAATACTCAAATATTTAAAAACATCATAATACTAATTGCTGTGAAGGCCAGAATGGGAGAATGAGACAGAAGGTTAGGAGAAGAAAAACCTAGAATCCATGAAGTACGTTGTGGTGCAGCTGCAGGAGAACAGCAACCATTTCTACCCATTCATTGCACGCGGTGGCTGCTTGCTTTTAGTCTATGTTTTTAAAGATTTATTCTTACTATGTATCTTTTATTTATTTTTTGTTTGTTTTTATTTTTCAAGACAAGGTTTCTCTGTGTAGCCTTTGCTGGCCTTGAACTCAGATCTGCTTCACTCTGCCTCTCAAATGCTGGGATAAAGGTATGTGTCACCACCATTTGTGGCAAAACAAATCTTTCTTAAAAACAACAAAAATACCTGCAAAAAAAATTTTTTTTTGATTTTTCGAGACAGGGTTTCTCTGTGGCTTTGGAGCCTGTCCTGGAACTAGCTCTTGTAGACCAGGCTGGTCTCGAACTCACAGAGATCCGCCTGCCTCTGCCTCCCGAGTGCTTG